AGTGCTAGAGAAGCGACCATGATGCTCCCATGCTGATTGCAGCGTCCACCGACAAGGGGGCGAAAACATAAAAACCCGACATGATTGCCAACAGTCCGTTGGTAGAACGTAATATTGTGCATGGACTGTGATTACAAAGTGTGGTTGCTGAAGAGCTGGTCCCTGTTCGCAAAGGCTCAAATGGAAGCGACAGATGACCAAGATTCTTGACCACCTTCGTAGCCCTCGCCTGCACTCGTTCCAGGTGCAGATAATCCTTCTTTTGGACTTTGGAATTTATATTTGTTAGCGCCAGGAAGGCATTATCTACACAATCTGAGATTCGTTAAAAATTATAGCGATTTGCGCAGATAATATGTACAGATTTGTAATAATATCATAGTGTAATAATGCAATAAATGATGAACTAGAAAATAGGCAGTTAAAAAAATCCCACAATGAAAATGGAGGCAGAGTTCAGCGTGTCTCCATTTTCAAAAAGCGTGTAGGAGAAAAACTGCTTAGAAAATAGTAATAAGATTTATTTGTAAAACACATCTTCGGTGCCGTCTAAATCCCGGAAAGCAGGAAAAAACATAAAACAAGCCCCTTCTTCTGCAGTCACTATTGGCTTTGTTTTGGGCTTATGCTTGGTCAATAGTATGCGAAATAAGGTATTTGTTTTAAGTGAAAAATCTGAGTTCACAGGTACCCTTCTAGTAAAAAAAATGAAGTATAATAGCGTGTTGTCATTTGAGGAGAACTGTTTGGGCTTCTTTCTAAATTAAACTATGCTATGAATTTTTCGAATATCGTTGTGTAGGGCATTCCATATGATCGCATATCTTATGGTGTATAAATTTGATCCTTGGGCCGTTCTAGCTTTAGGTTTATTTATCGTATGTTCGTTGTTTCTAGTGGGATGGGAACCGTTTTTGTTCGTTAACGTATTGTTGCTAAGGATATTTTGACCATGTGCTGCTTTAAATAGGAAATTTAGACCATTATAGAGTCGCCATTGCCAGGGGGGGTTAGGAGCAAATCTATTGTACATTATTACAAAGGAATTTCGGGTGGCTTCGCGTTTAGACAGAAAGTTAGTAAACTGTCTCTGGATTTTTCATAGTTTCTGTCTGTCTAGAATAGGTAAGGCGTACATTTAATAAAGTTGGGTCTTAAGTGTACTCGATGTGAAATTTTTTACTTATGAAACCACATAATCGATTGACTTTTGGTGCTATTTGTTAAACATGCGGCGATAATTCTAGACTATTAGAATACCTAAGACCTGAAGCTTTTAAAAATGTCACCTCTTTTATTTCTAGAACAATAAATAGTAGGGGAATGGGAGTTTAAGTGGTCCAGAAATCATGAGGTGACACTTTTTTGGTGAGAAGGGAATTTGCCATTGGGCCATTGCCAGTCAGTCATTTAGTTTTGAATGTCTAATTCAATTGTTCTATGCACATTGCTTATGAATAAATAATAAATAAATTTTACATTATAGGCCCGGAGGGTCTCGTCATTGCAAACTTAGTGCTGTGGAAAGATAAATGCTGCTCTCCGTGAACAATCACATAGGCAGCGGGAGCGTTTAGTTATGTTGGCAGATAAATTCATATTCACCAACATAGCGTCATTTTAAGATAGTAGTCAACACTCTCTGAAACGCATGGTGTACTAAGTAGGAAGCAGTGAAAAAAAACTCCTACCATTG